CTTTCAAGACCCAACTGTAATCATGTCCTCCTGGAAGTCCTCCCCATTCCCCCGAAGGTGACTTAATCTCCCTCAGTGCAGCCAGAACCACTTCTCCATCACTGTGATGTTACTTGACACACCATAGAGTAATTATTACCACACAGCGAAGACAAACAGAAAAATAACAATATGTATATATTATACTCATACTACAAGCTCCTTAAGGCCAGGGATGATTGACGTGTTACTCATTTTTATGCCTGGCATGGTGCCTGGCGCTCATTATAAACTTGTTGAAAGAACGTCCCTGACCCATCTCCAGTTCCCTCCCCTCGCCAGTGTCTTCTCTGCAGAATGATTGACACATAAGCCTGGCCAGTTGTCGCCTTTTAGTTTTGTTGTCTTATTTTCCTATGGTCTCCTTTTGTTAACAGTGTTTAAAATCAACCCATTTGTTTAAGAAAAATTAAAGATCAGAACTTAGCTGTCAGTTTTGAAGGTCTGGGAGGAAGTTGCCTAGAGATGCTGTTGTACCTTCTCTGGCTCTGGCTTGATAGGGATCAAAGGCCCCCGTCCCGCCACCCATTCCTTCAGCAGGGACAGTGAAGGCAGCTTAGAGTGCCAAGCACCCAGTGCCAGCATTGTAACCTGCCCCTGAGGCTCTGGGATTTAGGCCCTTCAGAGCAACGTGCTGTCTGCAGGGCCTGCGTTCCTGCAATCTACAGGCAAAGCCATGGTTTATGTATAAAACCAGTTCCCCCATGTATTCCGGTACTATCTTGTTGGCAGATTTCTTTATAGAAATTCTTTTTTGGATTGCATAGCGTTCATAAGGAAAACTCCCCAGTTAAATATGTCCTCTGAAGATGGCTTCACTCTGTGGTGAGGGCTTCTTGCTTGTCTTAGCAAAGCGTCATGTGAAAATAGCACTGGCATTGCAGTTTCTTGACTCTATCATTTTTAAAGTGTAATAATCGGAGTTTTTACCTGTCTAAAACAGATTTTGTATATTTAAGCTATTAAACCCCTGACAAATCTAAACTCTTCTGACCTCTTTTACAAGGCTGGAGACGGCTAAGGATATCACTACATAACATGCCATCTATGTAAACAGTGCGTACTTTAAAATAATACTTGAAAAGGATGATTGATTATTACAGTCAAACAGAATTGTAAATAGAGCTAGAAAATACTAGACTGTTGTTCCAGGAACCTCCAGATGTGAGAGTGAGGTGCTTGTTCCTCCTGCTGGACTTTTCTGTGTTTATGCTTGAGGCTTCAGAAGACCTCAAAAGCCCTTAACCAGCATCCCTCGGTCCAGCAAGATGCCAGTGGAAGACGCAGCTCCTGGGCCCGCCAGAACAGGTAGCAAGGCCCTTGTGGCAAGCAGCTCACCGATCTTCTCTGGGTGTCTGTACCTTCCTGGGCAAGGCGTGTGACCATCGAGCTTTTCTATATCTGTGTGGTTTCCTTGTGTGTGTCACACTGCCGTCTCTCTGCTTGCCCTGACTCATATCCGAGCACTTTGTGAACAGGCAGCTCTCCCACGTCCTCATGGTGTGCACCCTCTTACCAGCCAGCCTGAGAGCTCCTTCTGTCGGGCTGTCACTCGATGCCTCTTGTAGGCCACCTCTGTGACCCAGCATGTCTCCATTTCTGCTGTCTGTCCCATTGTTCTTCTGTGGGAATTGCCTGCCTTCTTTCCTATTCAGAAACAAACCATTTCTTTAACCTGAAAGTGAATTTCTCTAGTTCTGCCCCTCCCTGTACCATCTTTGATGCCTGTTCTCTACAGCATCCTAGAGGCTGGGCTCTCACCCAGCCGAGGCTCTGCTGGGAAACAGGCTTTGGCTTCGCTCTCAGGCTCTGGTTCTCTGGTTGCCCTGACAGTTCTCCCTGTGTCCTGAAAGTCTCGCTGACTTTCTCCCTCCCATCAGATAACAGATGTTTTGGCATCTGCCTCCAATGGGAATCAAGCCCATTTCTGCAAAGAAGCTGAACCTCCATCATGGTTGGTGCTGTCTCGATTGGCGGGGACAGCGTTCCAATGACACCTTCCTGCCCTGGGCTTCCTGAGGTGGTGGAATTATCAGGCGACACCCTTGCCGGCATTCCTCTTCCTCAGCAGCTTATGATGTTGGCTCAGTCAAGCTGCTTCGTTTTTGCTGTATCAAAGTCTTGCCTGAAAAGTGTCTGTCCCAGGCTCTGGGGCTTTCTTGGTCTTCATGCCTGTTTGGTCTCATTTCATTGTTTCCAAGGAGAGTCCATTTAGGCCTTGACAGGTGGTCATTGAGGAGCAAGAATCCCGGGTCAGAGCACTGGGTTAAACTATGCTGTTGCTTACAGGGCCTGCAACAGGAGCCTCGCATAACTGGGGGAAGCCAGACTCACCCTCCCGAGAAGCCGCCACGCAGGGCATGTGCCCTGAGAAAAGCCCCACCCTTGCTGGGGGCTTGCTGTCCATAACTTTGCTCAGCTCCCCAAGACCAGGCATGAAGGGTACCTCTGCCAGCCACAGACTGGGCTGCTCAGTGGTCTGGGGCCTGTGTGGCTCTCAGAATGTTTGAGGTGACTGTGAAAGAGACGACCTTAGAAACCATCCAGCCTGGATGGCTCAGCCAGGTGGCGAGGCTTCCTAGTAATAGTCTTCAGGTGGTGAGAACTGGTTTGGCACCACAAGCATCTGGAGCTTCAGGAACAAAGAACGAGAGTGTATTTCATCAAAGGGTTGGGAAGAAAAACCACGGCTAGGTTTGTTATGTTTGTTTTTTTAAGATTCCAGGGACCATGGTCTCTGGTTACATTTTACAAAGAAACAACCAGCCATAATGCCAAGTTCCACTGTGCAGAGGCCACAGGCCCTGCAGGAAATACAGCCTGTGCTGTGCAAACACTGGACGCTCCCTCCAGGTGGAGACTCATGTCCTGAGCACCCCCCGCAAGCCACAGGCTGGTCCTTGTGTTCAGATTACATGAAGAGGCCCGGGGCAGGGAGTCTGGCCAGTGGAGCCACTCTCTGCCACTTGGGAGGTCATGAGCTCCTGCTGGTGGCCCACAGAGCAGGGGGAATAGGCCTTCCTGTCCTTGGGGACAGCTCTTCTCCCTGCCTGCTCTGCTAACCCTCTGTGAGGGTGCAGAGCCCGGTGCCACCTGGGGAAGCCAGATCAGAAACCTCCAGGGCCCAGCCTTGGACCAGGGAGGCTCTGCAGGTTCAATGTGAAATTGCAGAAAAAGGCAATAGGAAAAGCACGCGGCTGATGGCTCCTGGGGAATCAGCTAGACTTGGGCCGTAGGACAGGAGAAGGGGCCGTAAGCAAAACCTCACGCTGCAGCCTCAGATCTGGTTCCCCAGGGTGTCAAGGGCACCAAGGGAGAGTCCTTGGCCCCCTGTTGGCATCTTACACTTGACCATGGCTCTCCCAGGGCCTCAGCCACCACTGTGGGCTCTATGGGCACAGGATCTTCTGTGTCAGGCTGGGTGGCCACCATCTGTACAACTGTGGCTCCCAATGTGAGTTAGAACAAATACCCCTTCTTTCTCCAAGACACACACACATGCCAGAAGTTTCCATTGAGATGAGAAAACCACCAGACAGGGTATGTGTAAATCTACACTTTCTTTAGATAGAGGACCTGATTGGGAGAATGGGGAATGGCTGTGGGAACCTTGGAAAAAACAGATTGGGGGTTTCCAGGGGAGACTTCATGACTGGGATCCTCTGCTCACTCAAGACAATGGATTCTTATGTGATTTTCCCCCCAGGAGGTACCTAGTAGGCCGACTGTGAGACTTAGGTAACTGGGCACAGGTTCAGCCCCACTGAGACTTCTCTCTCACCTTATTTATCCCCAACAGTAACTTGCTGGTTGAAGCCATAATCCCCTGGTTCCATGGAGCAGAGAAGTGGGGCTGGTATGGTGAAGGAGTTTGTCCAGGAGGGACAAAGCAAACATAGAACCAAACCATGACCACAAGCTGGATGGGCTGGGGGAGAAGTCTGGTGATGGATCCCTTGCCTAGAAAGAGAGGCAGGTACCAGGGACTTGGACAGGTGCCTGCCCAAGCAGGCTTGGATCCCTACCTTTCTTCACCTTTCCTCTTTGGCCATGTTGTATTAAAAACTGAAGTCTTGGCTGGGTGTGGTGGCTCACACCTGTAATCCCCATAGTTTGGGAGGCGGAGGCAGGTGGATCACTTGAGGTCAGGAATTCGAGACCAGCCTGGCCAACATGGCAAAACCCCATCTCTACTAAAAATACAAAAATTAGCCAAGCATGGTGGCGCACGCCTGCAATCCCAGCTACTCGGGAGGCTCAGGCATGAGAATTGCTTGAACCCAGGAGGTGGAGGTTGCAGTGAGCCAAGATTGTGCCACTGCACTCCAGCATTTGTGACAGAGCGAGACTGTGTCTCAAAAAAAAAAAAAAAAAAAAAAAGCCTGAAGTGAAGTCTTGCCCTAGCCAGGAAACTGCTGTGATAAAGGAGCATCAGGGCCGGGCACGGTGGCTCATGCCTGTAATCCCAGCACTTTGGAAGGCTGACGCAGGTGGATAATGAGGTCAAGAGTTCAAGATCAGCCTAGCCAAGATGGTGAAACTCTGTCTCTACTAAAAATCCAAAAATTAGCCGGGTGTGGTGGCGGGTGTGTGTAATCCCAGCTACTCGGGAGACTGAGGCAGAGATTTACTTGAACCTGAGAGGCGGAGGTTGCAGTGAGCTGAGATCGTGCCACTGCACTCCAGCCTGGGCAGCAGAGTGAGACTCCACCTCAAAAAAAAAAAAAAAAAAAAAAGCATGGGAAGGAGGGAATTGCAGTATGAATTCCCTAGATAGGCAATTGCTTCTACTTCATCAGGTAATCCCTGAGCCAAGGGTGAACACCCCTAGAGATGTGTCTGCCTAAGACCCGTACTGCCAACCAAACAAAAGGTAGAGCAAGCATCTCGCAAGACATTGCTCAAATCCAGTGTGGTTTGACTCTAGAGTAACCTCCAGTCTTTTCCTCTCCCCTTTTAAGTGCAAGCCTATACTGCGGCAGGACTGAGTCTGGGTATGTGGCTGGGCAGCCGGCCATGCATGTTGCAGCTGGGTGATCACTGTGATTCTTGGTGTGATCTGGGTCTGTGATCCAGCCCATCCTCTGCTTCTCTGTACTATTGCTCTGGCTCCTGGCCCTCTCCTTGCTATGGGTCTTACCCTCAAGTCGCTCTCTGATTCAAAGATGAACTGCCAATCAATGTTCCTCTAATGAAAGATCCAATCACTCTGCAGCATGTGTGTATTCAAAGAACCTATCTAAGACTTTCTTTTGGTCGTGGTGGGAGGCTGTTGCTGAAAACATGCCAGAGCCCAGTGTGGAGGTCAGCTGACAGGCCGTATGACCTTGGCAATGGACTACTGGTCGTCTGGGACTGCTTAGGACTGTGCAATGGAACTTGGGGGCAAAACTGATAGAGACAGCCAATGGGCCTTAAATCCAGCAGGCAAAGACAGAGTACTATTTGTGTAGCCCAGGGCTTATCAAAGTGTGGTTCTTGGACCACGTGCATTAGTATCAGCTGCAAGTATTTGGTAAAATGCAGATTCCTGGGCCCTACACCAAACAGATTGAATTTGAATCTCTGGGGGTTGGGCTAAAAAAAAAAAAAAAAAAAAAACTCTACATTTTAAACAAGCTCTTCAGCTGACCCTTGTGCAAATTTGAGAGCCCCTGCTGGAAAACCATTAGAATTTGCAAATGGCCCCCTCAAAATACTCTAGCCAGTCCCACTAAGTCAAAGACCAGAATCTGAGAACAGGGATGGGGAAATTATTCCTTTCTGTGGATGATTATGCAGCTGGGCCGTGATTTCACACCCGGGGGCCATGGGCTAAGATGGAGGGGAAGGAAGGAGTGTAATGTGTGCCCTCTGCCTCTTCACCAGGCATCATCCTCTCGCTGGCCCTGGCTGGCGTTCTTGGCATCTGTATTGTGATGGCAGTGTCCATTTGGCTTTTCAGAAGGAAGAGGTGAGCTGGTTTGGGCCCAAAATGGGAATGGGCAGCCGTGTGTCCATGATGATTAGTCTGCCTCGGAAGGCAGCTTTGTGGCATGAAGAGCCGCAGTCACCTGGACCAAAAGTTACCCTAGGAGTGCTGTCCCCAAAGCACCCGTGCCCTGGCCTCCTTTGCATGAGATATACATGTGACCCTGGTCTTTCAAGGGGTTTAAGGACCACTGTGCTCAGATTTGGAAGCATGTGTGCCTTGCTCACTGCTATTGGACAGCCTTAGATGAGTCTCTTGACTTGGGGCTTGTGCCTAGAGCTAAGCAGCAAAGCTGTCTTCTCATCAAGATCTTTACATATACGTTTTCATCTATGAATCCAAAAAGGAAGATGAAGGAAAACCTGATCTCTCACTCACACTAACTCTTCATGCCCTTTGCCCATGTTTTTATTGTCACATTTGGCTTTTCCTAAAACCTAATTTATTTTGGGGGTATGAAAAATAAAAAGGTTTCTGGGAACCCTGTTATGGAATCAGGGTTTGGAGAGCGGGGGTGACAACGAGACTTCTTTCAAAATACAGGTCTAGTATTGTTAGGTGTGGAAGAGAACAGTTGGAAAACGAACACGTCCTGTTTTGGTTAAAGCTTTATTTGGTGACATTCCCTCCCAAGACCAACAGAATTGGGGAAAGGTCCCAAAGAGAGGAATCTAACTTTTAAAAACGGCCTCATTCCCTACCTGAGTCAGTCTGTTCTCTGGCTTGCTCGCTCTCCTCTCTAACAAGACTTATGTGTTCTTTTTGTTCTAGTATCAAGAAAGGTGATAACAAGGGAGTCATTTACAAGCCAGCCATCAAGGAGGAGACTGAGGCCCACGCTTGAGGTCCCCGGAGCTCCTGGGCACATCCAGGAAGGACCTTACTTTGGACCCTACACACTTCAGCTCTCTGGACACTTGCAACACCTCAAGGTGTTCTCTGTAGCTCAAGAAAACATGACAGGCCTCAGGGGATCCTCTGCTGGGTGCCTCCTTGCCTTGGGACCATGGCCACCCCAGCGCCATCCAATCTATGGATGGGATACACTCTCAGACCAAGCAGCAGGAACTCTAAGCTGCTCGCTGTATCTGTGTGAGATTGTGAAGTGGTCTGAATTCTGGGATCACAAACCAAGTCATGCTGGTGGACCATTAATGGTTGGAAAACGCTTTCATCCAGGGCTTTGCCAGAGCATGCTTTCAAGTGTCCTGGAAATCCTGCTGCTTTTCCAAGCTTTTAGACAAGAATGTGCACTCTCTGCTTAGGTTTTGTTTGGGAAATTCAACTTCTTTCCTCTGGAGACGGGGCATCTCCCTCTGATTTCCTTCTGCTATGACAAAACCTTTAATCTGCAGCTTACAACTCGGGGACAAACGGGGACAGGAAGGATCAAGTTGTAGAGAGAAAAAGAAAACAAGAGCTATACATTGTGATATATTAGGGACACTTTCACAGTCCTGTCCTTGGGATCACAGACACTGCACAGACCTTAGGGAAAGGCAGGTTCAAGTTCCACTTCTTGGTGGGGATGAGAAGGGAGAGGCAGCTAGAGGGAGGGAGAAAATGAGAAGACATGGATGATCTTGGAAGAGTCTCACTTTGGAATCAGAATTGGAATCCCATTCTGTTTATCAAGCCACAATGTAAGGACAGAACAATACAATACTAAGTCCAAATCCAACCTCCTGGCAGTGGGGCAGTTATGTTTTACACTCTACAGATTTTACAAATAACGAGGCTATTCCTTGAAAATCTGTTGTTGCTGGGTCCTGGAGGAGACATGAGTTCCGAGATGACCCAATCTGCCTTTGAATCTGGAGGAAACAGGCAGAAACAAAATGACTGTAGAACGTCATCTCTTTTGGCCAAATTTCATTTCAGCCACTTCTGCAGGATCCCTACTGCCAACCTGGAATGGGGACTTATCTACTCCTCTCTCTCTCTCTCTGTGGATGTCAAATCATGGTTTAGATCAAATATATTTCAAGCTATAAAAGCAGGAGGTTATCTGTGCAGGGGTTGGCATCATCATGGTATTCAGGGGCCAGTAATAATGGAACGCTACTAAGATACTCCATATTCTTCCCCCTGAGTCACACAGACAGTTTCTGACAGGTGCAGCTCCTCCATTTTCCTCCCGCAGGTGATGACTCAGTGCCATAACTGAGAAGTAACCGACCCCTAGTTGACAGCACCTTGCAGTTCCCCGAGAACTTTCTGATTCACAATCTCATTTTGACAGCACACAATGTCCCCTTGAAGCATAGCTTTTTAAATATCTTTTTCCTTCTACTCCTCCCTCTGACTCTAAGAATTCTCTCTTCTGGAATCGCTTGAACCCAGGAAGCAGAGGTTGCAGTGAGCCAAGATCATGCCACTGCACTCCAGCCTGGGTGACAGAGCAAGACTGTCTCAAAAAAAAGAAAAAAAAAATTCTCTCTTCTGTACCATCACAACTTTTCGTAATGATGGCAAGCCTTATGTCTTGGGAGCCTGTTTTGCTAGGCAAAGTTTCAAGTGACCTAATGGAGGCTCAGACGTGTGTGTGCACTCAAGACCTCTAACAGCCTTGAAGCCTGGGGTGGCATCCCGGCCGTGCCATTAGCATGCCTCATGCATCATCAGATGACAAGGACAACCCTCATGATGAAGCAACATGAATTAGGGGGTCTCTTGGCCTTGGTTCAAAATTGTCAATCAGAAACTAACAGAAAGGGCTCCAGAGCAGTGGGACTGTCTGTCAAAAGACTCTGTATATCTTTTGTGGATGAGTTTTGTGAGAGAACAGAGAGACCATTGTACCTGGCACAAGGGCTGTTCATGAAAAGGGAGACTTACTGGGAGGTGTGAGACAGTGGCATTTCTCCTCTCCTCTTCCTGCTCAGCACAGACCTGGCTTGCAGCCCCCAGGCTGAGACCAGACAAAGCCAGGGAGGCAGAAAGATGCTCCAAGAACCAACACTGTCAATGTCTGCAAATCCTCACAGGATTCCTGTGGGTCCAGCTTTGGAACTGGGAAACCTTTCTTCAGATCCGCACTCATTCCACTGACGCCAGCTGCCCCTGAAGGATGCTCAGCGGCCGCCCACACGCTCCTAACTCTGCTGCACGGCAGATGCCTAGGTGGAAATAACAAAAACAAGGCACAGGCTGGGGCCAGGGCCATGGGGGAAGGCCCTAGATTCTCACTCATGTGGGATCTTGAATCTGTTTCTTTGTTCTGTTTCTGTAGTATCATCTGGTAAAAGTTAAAACAAAAACCAAAAACTCTGTATCTGTTTCTAGTGTGTGCTGCATTGAGTCTATTAATCACATTTCAAGTTCACCCTACATTCCTCTCCTCTTCACTAGCCTCTCTGAAGGCGTCCTGGCCAGCCCTTGAGAAGCACTGGGGTCTCAAGTTCCTGTGCCTCAGCCCATAGGCACAACCCTCAGTTCCTGTGCCTCAGCCCGTAGGCCACTGTGATAATGGTCTAGCACTTCTGTATTTATTGTAAGAATGATTATAATGAAGATACACACTATAAATACAAGAAAGTATAAATGTTTTTCACATCAGACTGTTCTGTTTTCTTGGAGGTGAGGTTAAAGCATTACTATTTGCAAAGCACTCTGTAGCTCCCCGTTAGGGGGATAGGTAACTAATCAGAACAATAACGTCACTTGCATCCACGTCTCAGAACCTGGTTTCAAAGGCAAGTACGCCGCTGGACTCAATCACTTTCCTGAGGATGGAGGCCTATGGCATGTGTGGCTGCAGGTCACGACACTGCTTAATGGGGCTGGGAAGCCTAGAGGAATCCAAGAAAGACGCTGGAGGAGGTGGGATCAGAGCTGCACCTTGAACAAATAATTCAGATTTGAACAGATGGATGGAAAAGAGGTAGATGTTCCCAACCAAGGGGACATGACACAGGGAACAGGTCCTATGTCTCTTTACTCCTGAGAGTATTAAACCTAGCAGGTGGGCAGCCCCTCTTGGTTGCCGGTTACCTTATTTTGAATTCTTTTTGCAAAAGATACTATCACCCCCTCCAAATAATCTTTTGTCTAAATCCAGACTTCACATTCTGATTGGGGCGAAAAGAGGCGGTCTAGTAAAGGTTATAAATAGGCACCATCATTGTTTGAGTTATTTAGAAAAGCATCCAATTTTCACTATAATCACCCTAAGCCTGAGAGAGGTGAACTGTTCAAGGGTACTTTGGCTCCAGTAGGTGACAGCACCTGGCCCGGCTTTGGAATTGAAACATTTCTGATGGTCTGTACTCTGCTAGAATACAGGACACTTCAGCTCTCCCCCTCTGGCATCCTGCCAGGTGTCATGGCCACGCACAGGCATGAAGATAGCCAGGAAGCCAGAGTTCCCATGAAGCACTCACTCTTCAGACTTGCTCCCACCCCACTAGGGACAGCACTTCCCGGAGCAGGCAGTGAGCATCTCTGAATACGTCTCCCTGACTTCCACATCCACTGGGTGGATAATCAGGGAGGGGTAGCAGTGAGAGCCATAGGTCGGCAGAGGGAACTCAGGCCCTCTTTAGGTTGGCCATTACCTCATCCTCAATCCCCCTAAATCGACCACCTAAAGCACAAGGGCCGAGAGAAATGTAATAAAATATAACATGAGACACATATGAAATGTAAACTTCCCAGTAGCCACACTAGAAAATGTAAAAGAAACCAGTAACATTAATTTAAATTTAATTTTAGATAATCCAACAGATCTAAAACACTGTCATTTCCACATGTAACCAGTATTTTCATGTGTTTTTTCTGCAGTAAAATCTTTGAAATCTGGTGTGTGTTTTACACTGACAGCACACTCGATTCAGATGCTAGATTTTGCTTGCAGATATTTGGTCGTTATTTAGATTTCATAAAATTTACAGTTTAAAAGATTCCAATATCCGAGTTGTTCCAAACACACTGAAAAGTCGTTTTCCAAATAATGGAATCAATGATCGGCTTTTGGATGTAAACTTATTAAAACAGCGTTTCTCAGTTGAGGCACATTCCAAGCGCTCAAAATCCACGCCCTGCGCAGACCAGGACGACGAAGTCGCCTTTCAGAGGCTCTGAGGGTTCTGCCTAGAGAGGTCCCACAGAAATTAGCCTGGGAGGAAAGCCTTGCTGGTGAAGCCAGGAAGGGAGACGGGAGGGCAGGAGGAACATCAAGCCCAAAGGAGCACATCGTGGGCGCCGCTCTTCCTCTCCCGCCACCTCCTCGCCTCGCCGCAGGGGGCCCGGCCGCGCCCCAGGTCTCGCGGTCCGGAGTGAATGGCGCTCGGTAGCAGGCACGTGGGCGCCTGGTGAACGGCAGGACCCTGGCACCCCTACCCTCTCGCCCCTACACACACACACACACACACACACACACACACACACACACACAGAGAGAGAGAGGGAGAGAGAAACGCCCCTCCCGTTGTCACGTGGCCTTCCTGCTGGGTATCTGGAGCAGTTCCAGCCTCGCCTCCGGAAGGAAACAGGGCCTCTGGGGAGCAGGGACCACCTGCCAGTGCGTTCCAGCCGGGCTGCCATCCACACTGGAGACGGCCCCGCACGTGGTTCTCGGGCTCGGATTCAGCTGTGGCAGGATGTGAGGGGAAAGGTGTGTGGCCGGACAATGCCACCAAAGGTGCCCCCGGGCTCCAACCCGTGCCTCTTCATTATAGAATGACTGGGCAGAGATAAGGGCCAGAGTACTGCTTTTGAATAATTCACCATAAAAATGATTGCAACCAGGTCAGTGTATCACGATGACTGCAAGCCACCCAGGGATGTGGCAATGCCTCTCGCTCTTGACTGCCCCAAGTCCCCTTCACTCCATTGCACAGCCCAGGGACAGGTGCAGCATTGCCCCTAACATCCAAGTAGGAAAGAGGAGCCGGCTCTGGCTAAGCTAAGCTTATCCCAATCATGCCGTGACCTCGTAAAACCCCTACGGGCTAAAGGCACTAAAAGCATTTGTACTAATGACTTCCAAAAAGTCAACCACAACCTCCCACCTGCAATCTACATGGTAGCTCTAACCCCTGGCCTCCACTAGGGTTAAGCCTGACCAAGGACTGCCAACTGCATTTGGGCAGAGGGGTCTACTGAGCTCCTGAGACGTTACCTTCACCTCTTAATTCAGCAAACCAACTTCCTGAGGACACATTCACAAGCTTTCCCCTTTTCCTAAGGCTGAACTGGAGAGAAGGAATAAATACACACACATGCACACATACAGACACACACAAAATAGTGTGTCTCTATATATAGTGTGTATATATAGTGCATATATACATATATATACAGTCACACACCACTTAACAATAGGGATACTTTCTGGAAAATTCATCATTAGATTTCGTCGTTGTGTGACCAAACCCACATAGTACAGCCTGCTACACACCTAGGCTAGATGGTATAGCTATTGCTCCTAGGTTACAAAGCTGTACAGCATGTTACTGTACTGAATACTATAGGCCATTGCAACACAATGGTATTTGTGTACCTAAACACAGAAAAATTACAGTAAAAAGTTATAAAGATTAAAAATGGTCCACCATGAATGGAGCTTGCAGGACTGGAAGTTACTCTGGGTGAATGAGTGAAGGGAGTATGAGGCCTAGGACATTACTGTACACTACTGTAGACTCTATAAACGCTGTACACTTATGCTACACTACATTGACTGAAAACTTTTCTTTCTTCAATAATAAATTTACTCTAACATTTTTACTTCATAAAGTTTCAAGTTTTTTGACTTTTGAACTCTTTGAACACATTGTACAGCAGTACAAAAGTATTTTCTGTCTTTACATCCTTTTTCTATAAGCTTTAAATTTTTTTTTTTACTTTTAAACTTTTTTGTTGAAAACTAAGACACAAATATACACATTAGCCTAGGCCTACACAGGGTCAGGATCATCAGCATCACTGTCTTCCACCTGCACATCTTGTCCCACTGGCAGGTCTTCAGGGACAATAACATGCATGGAGCGGTCCTCTCCTATGATAGCAATGCCTTCTTCTGGAATACCTCCTGAAGGACCTGCATGAGGCTGTTTTAGGGTTAACTTTTTTTTATAAGTAGGAATACACTCTAAAATACCAATAAAAAGTACAGTGTAGTAAATGCATAAACCATAACAGAGTTGTTTTAGCATATAAAAGTTTATAGCATATACAATTATACTATATAATTGTATAGCATATACATTACAATACATATACAATGATACTATATAATTGTATAGCATATACATTTATAAATTATATAGTATAATTGTATATGCTATAAACTTTTATATAACTGGCAGTGCGGTAGGTTTGTTTACATCAGCATCACCACAAACATCTGAGTAATGCACTGATACTTTCTGGAAAATTCATCATTAGATTTCGTCGTTGTGTGACCAAACCCACATAGTACAGCCTGCTACACACCTAGGCTAGATGGTATAGCTATTGCTCCTAGGTTACAAAGCTGTACAGCATGTTACTGTACTGAATACTATAGGCCATTGCAACACAATGGTATTTGTGTACCTAAACACA